CAGGGATGATTTCGATGTTGAAGATTTCGTGCTCCTGCATAGGTTTTTTTTAGCTTTTTTCAATAGCTAACCCCAACAACTCAAAGCCGAACAGGTAAACTGACTTGTAGACGTAGGGCCAGAATCGGTCCTACAAGCCTTGTAAAAAGGGCATATTTCGCTAATGGAGATGTTCTACAGGACTGCCCCTCCCTCACCCTCCACCCACATCCCTCCAACGGTAGAGCATTTAATTACCTCTCTATACTTAAACCAAAACCAGTCCCCTGCGTTGGGGTATGGGGGGGAGGAGATCCCCAACATACGGTTGTGCTTGTTAAGTGCAGTGGAGCCATCATCAGCTGCACCTCGTAAACTGCCCAGAGTCCAGAATAAATGGGTGTTTGGCTGCAAAATGAAGTCGACTACAAACACAAGAAAAACTTTGATTGACACCGCCCGTAGACCAGACCTGTCTTTTATCCATATGTCAACAACCTTGAGCCGCGCCAATGACGAGCAGGTGGCATCGATTTGACAATGACAAGGTGACAACAAAAAATCGCCGGAACTCACAACTCTGACGTTATGCTCATGGTTGAGCAATCGGGGTGAACGGATTTGAAAACGTCTCAAATCTAATTACTAGTAGGATTGCATTGCAGCTGCTTCAAAGCATATGAGAGTGCAATAATCCAAGTCATTTCAATATTCGGTGCTGTACGCTTGGGAGGGGCATTTTGGACTTTCGCTAATTCCTTTTGTTTGTACATGTGTTCATGTTAACTTACAGGTCTCGCCCAGTTGAAACCTGTGAACTCTTCTGAGCTGCCAAGTGAGCCATTTTGGTCACAGAACTTGACAGGTCTCGAAAGGGTGACCTGTACAGGCTTCCTGAGTACCATTTGGTCCCCACCATCAAGCCGAACTGCACCCATTAATCTATTGCGATTAGACGAGCATGGTGAACGAACATCTGGAAGACTGCTGACCCGATAGTCGTACTTCCTTGTGAATGTTCTGAATTAATTGTGGGAAATGCATCGGTTCTCTCTAAAGATAACCCATTGGACAACATTACCACGTTGTGTGGGCAAATAGAGATGGCATTGACGCCCCCTCAAACAGCACTATGATCAGCGGGAACATAGGCGCCACAGTTGAACATGGAAGACACTTCCCGCTACAGGTTATGATGCTCAGGAGTGAAGCTGGAGCCGATGTCTATCTATCAAATCCTAATAAAACTGATCCAGTCCTACCCCTATTTGAATTCCGATGGGCTGAATATTTAGCTAATGGGAGGCAGGGGACACTCGATTCGCATTCCATTCAAAGGACGCAAAGCTACTTACATCGATTGCATTGCGGTCGCCTTGCAAATTAGGACATTTCAGCGGTTCCGCCGTGGAAAAATTCAGGACAGCAAAAATACAAGCTCCTCACCACACAGGCCTTTGATGCGGCAACTTCTCCCCCGTAAGACCCCGGGTCGGCCTCGTGCACGAGCCCCTCGCCGAGCCCATCCCTCGGGAGCCCGCCCCGGGGCAGCCGACCCCCCCCCTCTCCATCGCTTATCCTTCCTGCCATTTTCTTAAACTAGCTCCAACTTTCTACCATTTTTCCTTTCTCCCCAAAATTACCGCCGAGCTGGATAGTGTCGTCCGAAACGAGGAGAACGCATGGTAAGTCAATTACCGAATACATTTCCCGAATACGATCCCCTAGCTGAGCATCCGCAAGGTACGACGTGCCCTGTTAGGTGTAGCACCTACCGTGCGAGCAGACAGACTTCTCAAGCTTGCAGCAGTAGTCAGCCCAGGCCTCCATAAGTAGCAGGTCTTCCAAAAGTCGAGCATTGACTAGCATATTCTGCTGCAGTCCTCGGATTTCCACTACCGGGGAGGATGGTAGAGTGCGATTCAGTTCCGGCGAAACTAGACACACTTTAGTTACGCTCGATGAAAGCCGTTTTACTGACCTTCAAACGAAGGGAGGTCGTTCAGGGTGTGCCCCGCTTTTTCGAAACGGTTTATTGCACTTTGTAGGGCCTTGCCCATGAACCATAAAAGTGGGCTTCGTTTTGGCTGAGCGGCCCCTGGAATGCCAAAAAAGGAGCGAAAAAGAAACCTATGGAAACTGATTGTTTTTGAGCCTCTACGAGCTGTAAACCGCTTGAAACTTTGACCAGTTGCTGAATGGAGGGACCCTATAAAGGTACTATCGGAATCGAAGAGAAAAGTAGTCGGGGTATGGGGTCTTACTTGTGGCACTAATTAAGCGTGAACGGCTTCATGGAATGGTTTCTTCAACAACGATCGGATGGCCTAGTGGATAGCGTGAAGGATTCTCAAGCGGACAGTTGGGATGGGGTGATGGTTTGAACACCCCCTCGCCCCCCGTGCGAGTTTCTTTGCATTTTTTATTTTTGCTGTTTCGCGTTCAAATAATGTACTGCGCGCGAGTATGCTTTGATGAGACTGCCATTTATAGGCAACATTTTAAATGGGAAGTTTCATGATCAAGTGGGTGCTCAATTATTAGCAAGTTTTTACCTACCCTTAAGCAAGACGTAATTGTAAAGTTGACCACTTTAATAGGTCAGACCGATCGCCCGAACAGTCACATATATGGGACACTTGATTTGTAGCTACGGAGCGGTGGCCATTTATCGCTAATATGGAGTGACATGTGTTCTCTACATAATGGATGCATTTGGCACTACACATAAGTAAGGGATGTGTAGGCGCTACAGTGCGCCAAAATTACCGGTCGGCGCCGAAAAATAAGTGTGAAAGACCATGCCTCGGGGGCGGCATGGCGGGTTACCCATGGTAAACACCATCTTGTTCGGCCTAAAGAGAATTTTTTTTTCGATTTTTTTTGGATGTGTGCGTTGGGTTATGCCCGACAGTCTTTCTATAGAAATCTACAGTGCTTCGCATAGGGACCCCCCCCCTCCTGTTTTATTCATATCCAAGCTCGGATCGTCTTTACGAAGATGGGATACTCCGGTCACCACCGCCGACCAAATGGTCCACCAAAACCCAAAAAATCGAAAAAAATTTTTTTGGCTGGAAGTTTGTTTATAAGGGTAATCGATAGTCCTGATTACGATTTTGACACTTATTTTCGACGTCGACGCCAATTTGCGCCAGAGTAGCGCTTAACGTCCGCGCTCGGCATTAATGGGGGTACATAGAACGACCTTTAGCGCGATCTTTTTTGCATCCAGGGGCCGCTCAGCAAACGAAGCCCAGTTTTATGGTTCATGGGCAAGGCCCTACAAGGTGCAATAAACCGCTTCGAGAAAGCGGGGCACACCCTGAACGACCTTCCTGGTGAGTTATTGGCCCTATCCGCAATACACCAACTTTTTAGGAATTTTGTGTACTACTTCCTAAAGTCTTCTGGCCCGAACGAACGTTGTTTGGGAAAGTGCTCATAGGACATATATTTCTGGCTATTTCCTGAATGGAATGGTTCCCGCTACTAGGGAATTGGATGCATACTTCGCTTAATGTATTGGCTTGAGTACCCGGGCCAAGATTGGCCTTTCACGAGGGAGGTTCCTGACTCCGCAATCTTTGAGATGTCCTGTAGGAGACAGTTTCCCCTGGTCCAAGACACTGCTGAATATTGCGAGACAGAACAAATTGATGTTTTAACTTGACACCGTTTGAGGATTTGAAGACGGGCCCATAATTTCAGAGCAGTGCATGAACACAGCATCTACGATAGTGCACAAATCACCCCGTCCTACCTACCATCCTGCTAGATTTTCCCAATTTCCAATCACTTTTCCATACTCTTTTCCACAAAATCTCTCGACTTTCGGCGGGAGAGCGGTATACAGCGCACGTGAGACGAAAAAAAAACCGAAAAAATCAACAACTAAATTTTTCAAAGCAAATACGGGCTCCCACCCCTTCCAGCCACAAAACAAGACCTCCTTCGTTGGGTATCCCCCAACGCACGGCATGCCGTGCTCACAGTGTAGTCTGTTCAAGCTTCGCTGAGTACCACGTGGTACCCCTACCATTCCGAACTGCGCCGAAAAATGGCAGTCCGTAAGAACAATATGGGACACGGAGACCATCAAGGTCAAAATTTCGCGAAGGCGAGAAGTCCCCATAATGCTCACCCCGTATGCGATAGGAGAGAGGAGCGTTTACAAATTAAATTTTACTCACTGTCATAAGGGTAGGCCCAGTGCAAGGCCTAATTTGGAGAACAATAACCCTGTCGTTGCTTCGTAACTTTCTTGCTGTTAATTGCGAGTGGTGAGAAGAATCAAGACCCAAATGCACAGATGGGTAAGGATCGCCGCTGTCCAACACACCGACCTGGGGTTTTTTCGGGGTCCATCCCTTGGCAATAGATTCGACGATGTTGGGCTTAGGGAGGGAGAGGGCGTTCTCCCAGTTTGCCAAATTGTTTTAGTGGTTGCTGGTAATCTACACGAGACCGTGGAGAGACGTGTCAACATCTACACGAGACCGTGGAGAGACGTGTCAACCCTTGTCAAGCTCGTGCCACAGCATAGCTTTACAAGGGTTGACACGTCTATTAGGAGGCATTGGCAGTGATCGATAAGGAGCCAACAAGATGTCCCCACTAAGCGAACTTGGGCACAGATTATTAGGAAACTGACCTGCACAACATTTTGCTTCTCAAGCCATAGTACATTTCGAATCTTCTGCATACCGCGCGCTCCTGTTGACCATCGCTGCTCGAACGTACAATAGTGGCGTCCCTAATGGGTCTTGATTTGATCTGGCAGCGTGCTAGACGTTGGCCCGAGCTGGTTTCCTCGATGTGCAAGGACAGTGTTTTTCTCAGAAAATTTCACACCACCAATCTGTTCAGGAACTCCAAACCAGGCTAAGGGATATTACCAACCATGATAAAACCACCGTTTCTGGATGGAGTTCGCAATCCCCAATGAGCGCATGCATTGAAGGAAAGTGAGCAGTATAGAGCCTTTGTAGCAGCATAACTTGTGATCAAGCAGTACACAGATGTATCAACATCAGATATACACACCACAGTGCATCTACAACAACAACGTTTATACCGTATAGAGCTTCAATTACTCTTCACTTCGCTGCTATAAACGGCGATTATGCGATTCATCTACTCCATCGGGAACGCGCTGGGCTACGCCTCCTTTTTTGGCCGGCTAGATTTCTATTCGGACAACGGCTTAGGAACGACTAACTGGTAGCGATACTTGTAGCACAGTGGAAGAATTCCACACGAAAAGGTAAGTCTGACGAGTCTTTCGTGTGGAACGGGAAGTCCTAGGAAGTCTATTTATTTGGGGCACAGTATCGGAATGGGTGGTAGTACATGTAAGTAACACAACCCCCTCTCCCAATTAAGTCACCACTTTACCGAGTTCTTTCGATTGTCAGTTCACCCAGCTCGTTTGCCTGGGCGAGCGGTTGAGCCGAGCGGCACCTGATCGTTCAATCAGTTGAAGAAGAAGTATCGAAATTGGTGGTTAGCTGAAGTTAGCAGTAGTAAGTTAGCAGGCTTAGTAAGCCAGCCAGCAATAGAGGAAATATAGCCCTCGTGCTACAGGAAAGCGCTCCCCCCATCCCATCGAACAAGTACATGGCCCTCCTACGCCGACTAAATACTGCCAACGAAAGTACCTCACCAGTCTTGCGTCGCCCCGTGATGGATGGTGAGGGTTGGGCTTGCCACCGCTGGCAAAATACCATTCCTCCCGACAGCCCCCACATCCGCCGCAGTAAAGAAAACATCGCACAGTTTTCACCCAATTCAAAAAACACCTTCATAGATATCCGAGCATGTCGGAAAAATCGACTAGCATGTACCTCTTTAAATTATGAGTCGGCCAAAGACAAGATGTACGCATCTGAGCTTTCAGACATCCCTTCAAATCGCTGAGTCTCCTCATATCTCTCTTGAGCTTGATTCAGTATCGAATCCAATCCCTTCTGGAGCACTCTCGGACGTCATCGAATTTCCGAATTCTCCGAATGTCTCCAAATAGGTACCGTAATACCTCGACTTGTCAATGTCGGATCCGTCCAATTCTTCATTGCGTCGCATAGTTATGGGAAGATGTGGACGGACGAAAACAGGCATGGCTGCTTTCATGCATTCCCTCCATTATCTGTTTGGATCAAAGGCAGGATCTTTCTGACTGCCGGGTGGCAACGATTGTCTCCAAATCACAAAAGAAAAGGCTTTACTTTCAGAATAGGTAAGTACGGACAGGGCGAGTAACGAATGCTCAAAAAGTGGAGGAACTATACGGAACGTGCGCCAAAAAGGCCAAAGACATTCAAAAGCCCCTAAACGCCGGGCAACCACACTTTTCTAGTCGTAAAAACTTGGAATGCGCCTCTCAAATGCAGAGTGAATGTGTTGACTATGGGTCGGGGCAGCAGCTCGTGCTATATCAAGGGGAGGACGGAAGGACGCCGGTCTCGCCGGTCATTCTCGCACAGAGCTACGGGAACAATAGCGCACAAATCAGGTCAAGGTGCAATAGTCTGGTGGTGAATGTCCTTCAGTACAACCTCACAACCTGCATACAATCTTAGCAGATTTCCTAAAAATGCTGTCGTCGACTCGGGGGTGACCTATCCCACCAACTATCAGAAATAGCAGTTCTGCCCCTTTTCATGGAACCATGGGCATATTGGTGAAACGAGAAACCAACAACCGGGATTATTTTTTTCGAGGCCAGCCACAAACGCTCTCCCCCATCGAACAAGTACGATTCTCTGGATAGGTTTTGCACAACGATGCTGTACCCTGCTTCGTGGAAGTACATATGTTGCCCCCAGCCTCTATGCCATCTCTGCGTTCGCTTATCAAGTATCCGCTCATAAATATGATAGACTGATGGACTTGTATGTTCCCAGTTCAGACTTCTTTTCGACACTTCTGCAGCTACTTTTATGCATCTAAAAACTCGGTACTGATTCTATAATCTCGCATTCACCAATTCAGGATACCTGGGGACGTCAGTGTAATCAGATTTTGTTCGTGTCCAATGCGACTGATGAAAAGTTGCCGATTTTGCTCACCGATCAGAACGATAACTTCCTAAACCTGTTTCTTAAGACACGACAGGCCTTTCTGTGGATTTACAAAAATGTAGTGGTGAGTGTCCAGATTTGCATGAATTGCAACAGAATAGCAGAGCACTCGTGAGGCGTGTGTAGGTCAGGAGATCCGAGTTGTCGTGGCACAGCGAATCGGCTTCGCGACTGGCAGTGTGCTGCCGAACGCGTGGTGACTTAGTTTCTACGAGTCGCAACAGATCCGATCTTTTGGTCCACCTCCGCGCGTCGACGTCGACGCTGCGTTCAGAGTTCGCGATGACGCGCATCTACCCGCTACGATGCGCTCAACGTGGTAGGATAGAGGGGTAGCAGACTGTGTGGTAAGGTAAAAGGTCTGCAACGCGTAGAAGAAAGTTTCCACTAGACACTATTCCCACCCACCGCCACACGGCACCCCCAAATTGCCGTTGAATGACACAAGGAGGGAGCTCTGATCAGTAAAATTACTTTCAGGCCAAATACAACCCCTTGCCCAGCAACTCGATACCCCCACATCCAAACATGATAAGGGCGTGGTGGCGTACTTCACTAGAACATGGCGTAGGATGACTTCCCGTGGATTTTTTTCTGGAAAGATTTGGGACTGTTATCATGTCTTGTGCTGGTGGGAGAAATGATGGCTCCATGCTTCAACTTAGCCTGAAGGATTCTATGCTTCTGGTGAGATATTTTCATCTTGACACAACTGTTGTCGTGTCTCTGTCCAACACAGAACAAGATGACAGTTGTCCCAGACTGGAATATTCCACGAGTAACCAGTTCCGTGCCATGTTCGAATGCCACGCCTACTCTGGCTCAGGGATAAGTAGTGTAGATGGAGACTCGTAACGGCGGATCTTGTTGGCAGGCCTCTCCTCTTTACCGTAGAAACACTAACCTGCACACTAAACACGACAGTGCAATGATTGTAAATCTCCGCCCATTTGCTTACCGTGGAATCTACCACGAAGAGCAGTGGAACAAGCGCGACGCTATTAGTCCTTTTGCCACTGGCTATCACATAAGAAAAGAATAAATGATTATTATAAACTGTTGAACCATTTCTAGCAAGATTACGATTGGTTCCTCAAAGCAGATGACGACACCTACTTCCACATGCCAAATCTAAGGCATTTTCTCAAGGTCAGCTAATTATATTCTTCGGTTAACTTCATGGTGACTGAGAAGCAGAAAAAAATGGAAACCCTTCTGCATTTCCTTTTCCCTTAGGGTTACTCACCAAAAGAACCATTAGCATTTGGTCATCAGTACTCGAAGAACGGATTCAACTACCATAGCGGTGGATCCGGATACGTACTCAGCCAAGGAAGCCGTGCTAAGGTCAAGGTATTTTATGTCTCACAAACAAGGCTGACATAACTGAACCGAATTGATTTTTTCAGACTGGGAGCATTTGGATTCGGCTACGATCCTGACTGTGACAATCCCTCAGTTGCTGAGGATGTTTATCTCGGAAGATGTCTTGTAGCATTAAATTCATCAATAGTTGACGCTTCTGATGAAAACGGCGCTTATAGGTGAGAAATTTTTCCGCGCTGTTTGGCTTGGAAGGAGCACTTGCATTTTTGCTAGCTCCTTAGGGTAGCTCGCATTACCTATTTTGGCAGACCTGTAAACTTGCAAAGCTGCGAAATTGTTCGAGTGAGCACGGGAATCTACAGGTTTCCTGGAGCAGCTAGGCGACGGGGTGCCGCTTCCCAGATGTCGGCCCATCCAAAAGGCCATTTTGTGTGCTTACAAGAGTTGACAGGTTGAAAACGGAACTAGTGAAGCAGCAAAAGTGCATCATGCTCCCCCCTTCCCGTTGCTGAATGCGCCGATTTTCACAAGTTTTCATAACAAGATCACGCAGTCTTCGGCAAAGAGTGGAGGTTTAGCCTTCCAACGTCCACGGCGCGCAGGAGCACTTGGCAACTGCCCGACCGGCAACTCAAATCACAGCATAGCACTTCTCGCACGCAATGTAGGGCTGCGTTTATACTTTGCGGCAGCGTAGCGTAGCGCTTCCAGCGTACGCCAGCGGCAGTGCCGGGGAGAGGATGCATATCGATCTAGCGTTCCCAGCGTCACGCTAGCGTAACGCTAGCGTGGCGCCTACGTTACGCCAGCGTTTCTCAAAACGCGTTTTCACATCAGCGTTTTGGCTATGCGTTTGCACAGCGGGCAGGGGAGTAGAGACTATGGGAGAGCTGGAGGGTACAAAACACATCGATTGCGCGTCTCTCACTCGCCCTCAGTCTCTACAATACACATCGATTGCGCGTCTCTTACGGCCACATAGTCTCTACTCCCCTGCCGCTGCAAACGCCAGCAAAACGCTGGTGAAACGCTGGAGAAACGCTGGCGTACGCTAGCGTTACGCTGGTGACGCTGGGAACGCTAGATCGATATGCATCCTCTCCCCGGCACTGCCGCTGGCGTACGCTGGAAGCGCTACGCTACGCTGCCGCAAAGTATAAACGCAGCCTAGTGCTTGTGACTGTGCTCATACTCGGTAAACAGGGTACAGCATCGTTGTGTGCACCTCATAGGGGGTCGTAGTTTTCCGATGGAGGGGGTGGGGTCGTATTAGGTCGTTGGGAGAGTGGAGGGTCGTACTGACACCCTCTCTCGGAGGTGGGGGGGGAGGGTACCCACACTATCATTTCACACATCACCTCTACCCTGTCGGTGGAGGTGAATGGTCGGTTACCATGCATGACAGTACGAAATGAAGGAATGGCGGAAAGGAGCTCAAATAGGTACTCATGCGACACAGGTTCGCGGTCTAGTGCGTTACCTGCTGGAGAAGTACATTACGCGTTTGCCTGATTGACGGAGCCTCTATTCTGGACTCTCGGATTGCGAGGAGCTAACCTCGTTTGTTGCTGTCGCCAACTACACCGTCTAATTCAAGTGTGATTTCAGCCT